GGAGAGAAAACCAATATCTGAGCCAGAAAACAGTTTTAATATTCACCTTCTGACTGGTGAAGTTCAGGTACAATAAAAGACGTGGAGGCCAAAGGTCTCAGAGACTCAGAGACTGATGGTGCAGGAGAATCAGAGCCTGGCTTAGTGTCCACATGCAGCAGGGTTGCATCACTTAAGGACACAGGGGAAATAACATTTAAAACAGATCAAATGAAATCTAACAATCAAGATAAATCTGAGGTTTTGCAAAAACTGCCTTATGATGTCTGGAGTTGGTGTGGTATTCTTTATCAAGAGGGCCTTAAAGACAGCATTAGTCATTTTTACCTGTTCTAATTTTCCTATGTCTACTAAACTTTTGAATATATTTTAAATTGCAGTCATCTTGTCCGTGGTACAGAAAAGAAGCTCTGAAAATGTGGCCCTTGAAAACTCCAAGTAAATCAGATGCGCAATCAAATTATATCATAATCAGTCTAACCAAAACCAAACTCTCCGTAACTATAATTTTGCTATTAAAAATTAAGCTAAATAAAATAGACTGTAAGTTACAAATTATATACATATATATATATATATATATATATATATATATATATATATATATATATATATATATGCAATGATGTGCAAATCATGTAAACCATATTTTTAAAGGAAAATACTACAAAGACAATATAAAATGCTGAATATCAAATGTTGAAACTGAAATTTTATTGTTTTTTGAAAAATATATACCATTTTGAATTTTATGCCAAAAACATGTTTCAGAAAAGTTGGGATGGGGGCATGTTTACCACTGTGTTTCATTATCTCTTCTTAACAACACTCTGTAAGCGCTTGGGAACTGAGGAGACCAATTGCTGTAGTTTTCAAAGTGAAATGTTTTCCCATTCTTGATTGATATTTACTTTCAGCTGCTCAACAGTTCAGGGTCTCCTTTATCGTATTTTTCATTTCATAATGCGTCAAATGTTATCAGTGGTGACAGGTCTGGACTGCAGGCAGGCCAGCTTAGCACCCGGACTTTTTTAATATGAAGTCATGCTGTTGTAATACACTATATTGCCAAAAATATTCGCTCGTCTGCCTTCACACGGATATAAACCTGAGTGACCTCCCATTCTTAATTCATAGGGTTCAATATGATGTCAGCCCATCGTTTGCAGCTTTAACAGCTGATTTGTCACTAAGGATTGGATGCAGCTGCTCGACCATGGAAACCCATTCTATGAAGCTCTCTAAGCACTGTTCTTGAGCTAATCTGAAGGCCACATGAAGTTTGGAGGTCTGTAGTGATTGACTCTGCAGAAAGTTGGCGACCTCTGCGCAGTATGCACCTCTGCGCCTCTGTCATTTTGCGTGGCCGACCACTTCGTGGGTGAGTTGCTGTCATTTCCCATCACTTCCACTTTGTCAAAATACCACTGAGAGTTTACTGTGGAATATTTAGTAGCGAGGAAATTTCACGACTGGACTTGTTGCACAGGTGGCATCCTATCACGGTACCACGCTGGAGTTCACTGAGCCCCTGAGAGCGACCCATTCTTTCACTAATGTTTGTAGAAGTAGTCTGCATGCTTAGGTGCTTGGTTATATACACCTGTGGCCATGGAAGTGATTGGAACACCTGAATTCAATTATTTGGATGGGTGAGTGAATACTTTTGGCAATATAGTGTACATGCAGAATGTGGTTTGGCATCGTCTTGCTGAAATATGCAAGGCCTTCGCTGAAAAAGACGTCATCTGTTAATATCGTTCAGCATTAGTGGTGCCGTCACAGATGTGCACGTCACCCATGCCATGTGCACTAATGCACCCCTACACCATCATGAATACTGGCTTTTGAACTGTGCACTGATAATAAGCTGATTGGTCTTCAGCCCGGAGGACACAGCGCCCATGATTTCCAATATTTGTCGGACCACAGGACACTTTTCCACTTCCCCTCAGTCCATTTTAAATGAGCTCTAGCCCAGAGAAGGTGGCAGCATTTCTGGATCCTGTTTATATATGGTTTCATCTTTGCGTTTTAGAGTTTTATCTTGCATTTGTGGATGCATCGACAAACTGTTTTCACAGACAGTCATTTTCAGAAGTGTTTCTGAGCCCATGTAGTGATTTTCACTACAGAAACATGTCTGTTTTTAGTGCAGTGCTGTCTGAGGGCCCAAAGATCACGGTCAGCAAATACTGGTTTTTGGCCTTGTCCCTTACATACAGAGATTTCTTCAGATTCTCAGAATCTTTAAATGTTATTATGTACCGTAGATGATGAAAAGCAAAAGTTCTTTGCTATTTTATGTTGAGAAACATTATTCTTGAATTGTTGCACTATTTGCTCGTGCAGTCTTTCACAGAGTGGTGAACCCCTCCTCCTCTTTACTCCTAAAACACTCAGCCTATCTGGGATGCTTTTTTTATACCCAATCATGTTACTGACCTGTTGCCAATTAATCACCATGTGTATTTTTTTAGCATTACACAACATTACCAGCCTTTTGCTGCCCCTGTCCCAACTTTTTTGGAACGTGTTGTTCGCATCAAATTTAAAATGGGCATATATTTTTCAAAAAAACAATAAAATTTCACAGTTTCAACATTTGATATGTTGTCTTTGTACTATTTTCAATTAAATATAGGATTGAAATGATTTGCACATCATTGCATTTTGTTTTTATTTACATTTTGCACAGCGTCTTGATTTTTTTGGAAGTGAGGTTGTATGTGTGTGTGTGTGTGTGTGTGTGTGTGTATATATATATATATATATACACATATATTGGGGGTGGGAATCTCTAGGCACCTCGCGATTCGATTCGATTACGATTCAGAGGCTGCGATGCGATTATAAAACGATTATCGATGCATCTCGATGCATCTTTTCCTATACAGCATTTCTATTTTCTCTCTGTGTGAGGACTTGGTAATGTTAAAGCAAAGTATTTGTAATGATCCATTATGAATTTACTTCCAATATCTTTTATTAATAAGGCAAATGGAAGTGATGTGGCAAGTGAACTGGAAGGCTCTCATTCACTGCTCCTGTTTGGAGCACATGAGACGCTGCTGCCACTCATCTGTGATAAAATGCACAGTTACGGTGAAATAAGATCCAGTGGTAGTGGATGTCCATGCAGCACGTTACAGTCGCCCTACCCGTTTTCTTTTGTGATTTTATAACTTCGGTTTTGGTCTCGTTGTAGAGACGGTGGGGGGATCACTGTGTCAGTAAAATATCTTCGAGACGGGACATGAGCAACATAGCGCGTAAGCCCTGTTTCGCAATGACTGAGAATTGGTGTGCAGACTGCAGGTCACATAGCAACGATGTATTATTCACATTTATAAGCAGCGCAGTTGGTTTCCTGGCAAGTTAAATCTGCAACAAGAGAATGTCAAATACTAAAAAGTTGAGAAGCTGAAGTGAGCTTCTCTTTCGAATTCTCCCGTTCCACCTTAAATGGTGCCGCATTTACATTCGGCGCCTCAGTCAGAATTTTAGGTGGAAGGGAAAAATTTGAACAAGAAGCTGGAGAATGAGAAGCAACTTCAGCCTCGTAAAACAGTCGAACGCTGAGAGACATTTTACAAGAAACTGCTCTTCTTTTGAGGAAAAGTTTCCTGACCGTGTTTTTGTTATGTGCCGCCACAGACTGTCCGTGCGCTGCACTTCTGCACTTCCAAGTTCCGCCTTTTGCGTTCCGTCAACATTACGTTATAAATTAAATATTTAGAAAATCAATTTTTGACATTTGTGAATCGATTCAGAATCGTTCACGTCTGCATCGTGATGCATCTAATGAATCAAGTTTATATATATGTACACACACACAGACGCAGGACATTCATCAAAGGATTTCTTGAAAGCAGTTCAAAGGCATGTAAGTGGTTTCAAGTTTACAAGTATGAATTGAGGTGTAATGTTTTGCACAGTTTCTTGTCCTTTTCTCCTTGCAAAACTGATGTCACTGTGTTGCACTGCCACTGTCATATCGTTTCTCACAATCACTGTAAATGGTGACAATATTCAATTCAAATTATACCTGTTAGATCAGCAAGACTGTCATTGCTGTTGTGCTCTACGTCTGTTTAAAATAAGGGTGCAGATTTTACCCTACTGATCTACCATCTTACTTTGTCTACACTGGCTTCATGTAAAATCTACATTCACTACTTGCTTATGATATTTAGGGCCCTTAATAGCCAAGCTCTGGCATATCTTGCGCATTTAAGCCCATTTAAACCACTTTGCTCAGTAGAGTCAATCTTAGATCAAACAGTTAGAATCACTCACAGGTCAGCTGGTGGAAAATAATATTCTTATATAGTTCCTAAATTTTCACAGAACATAAAGAATGCATGCTTGGTATGTTCTTAATATCCATATTACAACCTATTTGTTTAGTAAAGTTTTTCTTTCCAGTTTTATTATGTTCCTGTTTAAAGCTATCTATTTTGTAACTAAAATTAAAAGAACGATATAAATAAAGAATAATTATTATGTTATTATTATTCACATGCTAAACACATACAGTTGTATACAAAAATTTGACTTTACTTTTATAAGTGAAAAAGCACCCTCTACAGAGAACATGCTTTGCTCATTTTAAGGTAAAATAAAACATAAAATGCAGCCTATACTTTAAGTTCATACTGTATTAACTTGTTTGCACTTCACAAAATCAACAAAACCAGGGGTGATCAAAGTTTTGTATGCGACTGTATGTGTATTGGGCTTGTATAACAGACAAATTCATTTAATACGTTCTTGTTGTAGCTTCAATTCGGAGAGGTGATACTGTAAAGCAGAGTTATCCAGCTCCAGCCAAATAGTTCTGCATGTTTTCATGCACATCCTTGACTAATAATAAAGAGCTGAAACTGGTGTTATAGAGCAGGAAAACACAGATGTGAAGTATAACAACAGTTGTACAAAGGACCAAAACACTGTATGATGTTATATTGCTTTTTTAACTGGTGTTTTATTGCTTTGTGCTACTCTGAACACAACTGTATTCTGGAAGAGTTGTTCCTGAATATTTGACCTAATAAAATAACTTTAAGAGCTTTTCTAAACCACTTAAAGAAGAATGCATATACAATAGGATTGAGAGCTGAATTTGAATAAGCAATCCAACAGAGCACATCCAACATTTGTGGTGGAACAATAAAACCAAACAATGTTGCAATGAGATTATAGATAGAAAGAGGTGCCCAAAATAATAGAAACCCTCCCATGACAATGACTAATGTTTTAGTTGCTTTTCTCTCTGCTTTACTAATGGCAGGTTGCCCTCTGGATTTATTGGCTTGAGAGACAGTATTGCGGACTAATCGAGATTGCCTCTGTGCAACAAGGTATATTTTCAGATATATGCTTAACATGATAATGATAGGGACGTAAAAACAGATTACAGAAAGTAATAAACTTGTCAAGGGTCCTAAAAAGAAAACACAGGTTCCCTTACATATAAGATCACTGTAAGCTTTCATGTTCAGAACACTTAGCTGTGGAAATATAATCCCCTCAACAACAGAAACACTCCAACCAACAGTGATCATGAACAGAGTAGTAAGAGAAGTCATTTTACTGTGGTACAGCAGGGGATGACAGACTGCATAATATCGCTCAACAGAGATAAATGCAAGATTTAAAATAGATGCAGTGCACAGCATAATGGCAAAGCTCCTGTGTATTTTGCAGAATAAACTCCCAAAATACCAGCAAGTCTCCACAGAGTGTATCATGCTAGCAGGCATCACAACCCCTCCTAAAAGCAGGTCAGCTACAGCCAGAGAGAGAGTGAGGTAGTTAGTTGGTGTGTGCAGCTGTTTGAAATGAGTTATGGCTATGATCACCAGAAAATTTCCAAATAATGTAATAAGTATAATGAAACCAATGACAAAATATGTAATAACTCGCATGGCCAGTGGATAGATTAACTTCTGACAGGAGTTAGGATGATGTTCATAACAAAGAGAAATGTTTCTTATGCTCCCATTTTGACTAATGCTCATGCTCATCATGCTGTTTTCCTCTACCTGTAAAGAAACATGCCATTAAGAAGTATTTGAGAAGTGCTTTCAGTAAAACAAATTATTCAAAACGGTAAATGATTAAACATTGCAGAAAAGGATCCACTTTAAATAGCATGAAAACATTAAATCACAATTCCAAATCTCGATCATAATTCCAAAAATATTTCCAATTATTTTTGAAACACATTAAGAGAGTGAAAAGCTTAATATGCATGAATAGTATATGAATACTATGTAACTCTGCTATAATTAAGAATGGATTAAAAACAAGCACATGTTCAGTGTTTCCTTCCTCTTTTCATTTGTGTTTAATGTCTTCAGTATCCAGCATAACCAACGCTTGTATGGGGGCAGGGGGGGGCAAAGCCAGCTCTGAATAAAGAGCAGCTTTCATTTATAGGCTGACAGACTTGCATCAGGAACGCCCTTCTGCTAAATCATTCCTATTTTTCAGATCCCTTGATAGTCTATGTGATAGTTACCAAATATGAATTAAACTAAGTTCACCCAGACAGATTACAAGCTGCAAACTGATGGTGGTACATAAACATTTTTCAAACTCTGATTACTGCACACTGGGAATATTACTAAGCCAAGAAAATAGGAAAAAGGGAAAGGAAATGTAGACAACTGAAATATGTGTGATTATTATGACATCAATGCACTAGAATAGCAAGTAGACACTGCCTGATAACATCTATTTCAAGTATTTCAGTAACACCTGCAATATTCAGTAATATCAGCCACAATGCTGTTTTGTTATTCATGCACAGTAGCTACATTGTATGGCCAAAAGTATGTGGACACCTGGCCATCACATCTTTATGAGCCTACTGGACATCCGATTCCAAAACAAAGGGCATTACTATGGAGTTTTCCTTTTTGCAGCTATTGCAGCCTCCACTCTTCTGAGAAGGCCTTCCACAAGATTTCAGAGTGTGTTTATGGAAATTTGTGCCCATTCAGTCAAAAGAGCATTTATGAGATCAGGCACTGATGTTGAACGAGATGGCCTGGTTTGTTATCAACATTCCAGTTCAGTGAGGTTGGGGTCAGAAATCTGTGCAGTTCACTGGAGTTTCTCCACACCAAATTGTCAAACCATGTTTTTAGAGAGCTCACTTTGTACACAGGGGCACAGTCATGGTGAAACAGGAAAGGGCTAACCCAAACTGAACACACACTTTTGGTGGCTTTAAAGTAAATCTTCTAGCTAAGCTTTGGAGGCAGGCCCAGGGCTGTTTCTGAACATAAAGGCTTCTACCTACCACCATATTTTTGTGTAGGAATAGAAAAAAGAATTAATAGTTAACCAATTTTATTCACTCAATGCATTTTTTTTAAGAATGTTGAACAAAACTTAGCTGCGGCCACCTGACAGCTTGGGGACCCTAAGTCACTGCTTGCACCACTTAAAGCAAGACACAGCCCTGGGTTGACCTACCAATTAACCTGAAATCAAACTGTTCACATGTACTGTGCATTCTCAGAAAAAAGGATACTAAACTGTCACTGGCATGGGTACATCCTTTAGTACTTTTAGTACTTTACCTGCTAGGCCACCTCCAACCTCTAGGTCAGAGATGATTGAGGCTGATCAGATGCATAAGCCAGCCACCATGTTACAGCAAGACTGAGTCAGTTCATACACTCAGCAGAGCAGTTGCAATTGGAGCAGCTACGTAATACATTAGCTAGCGAGAGTGCAACAACTGGACAACACAACTAGTTTCTGCAGCAGATACTAACCCAACTGGAGGTCCTGGCTGGAACCCTTGCTCAAGTCCAACAGCTGAAACCTACAGCCCCGCCTGCTGTGGCTCCTCTTCTAGAGATTCCATCAGCTAGTCAAACTAGTTCTCGAGCTGAACCTAATCTGCCTTCCCCAGAATGGTCTAATGGTGAACCAGGGTGTTGTAGGGGGTTTCTCCTACAATGCGAAGTAGGTTCCCACTGAGTGCTCTAAAGAACTGTTTATCATCTCACTGTTTACAGATCGAGCCCTTGCATGGGCTACTCCTGTTTGAGAGAACAAGGTTACCGTGTGTTCTTCCTCAGAGCTGTTTATGGCTGCTATGTGCCATACATTCGACCATCCAGTCTGACCATTTCAAGAAGTCTTTAGCAAGGGGAAGGCCCAAATTTTACCTCCACACAGGTCCTATGACTGTGCCATTGACCTCCTCCCAGGCATCACCCCTCCCCAAGGGAGGCTGTATTCTCAGAGTACATCAGGGAGACGCTACCACTAGAGTTCATTCCACTGTCTACCTCACCAGCTAGATCCATTTTTACTTTGTGGGGGCAAAAGGATGGCAGCCTTCGTCACTGCATTGACTATAGGGGACTAAACAAAATTACAGTTTCTGCTGATGACCTTTGTGTTTGAGGCACTGCAGCAGGCCTCAATTTTTAGTTGTGCAGTTGTGCAGTGCCTATAACCTTATTTGGGTATGCCAGGGGAACGAATGGCAGACAGCATTCATTACCCCGTCTAGTCATTATGAATACCTCATGATGCCTTTCGGCTTAATGAATGCTCCTGCTGTTTCTAACGCTTTATTAATGAGGTCCTGCATGAAACTCTTAACCACTATGTGTTTGTCTACCTATATGACATCCTCATCTAGAGCCGGTATGTGGATGAGCACATAGTTCTTCACAGGGTACTCCAGCTTTTACTATAAAATCACATTTGTGTAAAACTGGAGGATTCCAACTTTCATGCACAGTTGGTCAGCTTTCTTGGGTTCATGGTCTCTAAGAACTTTCTCTTTTTGTCTCTGCTCCCTTTTGGTTCTGACCCATGCCTGTTTCTCGACTACGTCTGTTCATTATCCTCACAACAGTAAAACCTCTTTAAAACTTCAACCACGAGCATCTGACTGAGTCTGCCTTGTTACAGGATACCTCACCTAACACTCAGAGGCTTTTCAAAGGGCTTTGTTGATCAGGGACGTATGTTAGGACCACATGAACAGGTCATAGCGGGGGTTCCTCATCACTTGATTCCCTGGCACATCAACAAACAGAGCTACAAGCTCAGTTTATACAAGTGGCAAACACTGTTGCTGGTCTGATAACCCAACTGCAAAGTTCAGGTCTAGCTGCTCAAACTACTTCACCCAGTAGTTCTTCCCTGAAATTAAATGCTGCCATGGCTAACTTTTATGTCAGTAAACCGGAAAAATACAATGGGAATTCTGCTATGTGTTGCAGATTTTTTTATAAGGCTCTATGTATTTTGCTAACTCTCTTTTGAGTACTGATCAAGCAAAAAATTCATTTTTGGTTTCCAGGTAACAGACAAAGCATTAGAGTGGGATACTGCAGTTTGGCATAATGAAATTGGTTTTGTATGACCAATTTTTCAAAGATTTTCATGTAGTTTTCGATCACCTGCATGAGGGCAAGTTTAGTGGAGAATTACTGACCAAGGTTCACCAAAGTAGACATTCAGTTTCTGATTATTCATTAGAGTTTCATACTTTGGCTGCTGGAAGTGGGTGTAGTGAAAAATCATCACTAGTAATGTTTAGACAAGGACTTAATCCAAAAATTCATCACATTGGCTATTCATTTGGACCAACTCTTAAAGGACTGCAGAACTCAGAGAAACAAGATCATCGGACACCCCACTGTTTATCCTTGAGGAACAGTTCAGGTGAACGTAGCAGAAGGATCCAGGCGGTACTACTCTTTCCGTCTGACACAGGAGGAGAGGCTTTGTCGTGTTAATAGAGGATTGTGCATGTATGGCGGCAGGACTGCTAATGTTCTACGTGACTGTCTGGCCCGTTCATGCAAACCTCAGGCCCTGACCCTGAGAAAGCTTGTGGAGTAATGTGGTGAGTGTGCCCACATTGGGGTTGGTTTGGGAGTCTTTTCTCTTGCCTGTGACATTGTACTGCAATCAGAAAATTTCTGTCATTTTAGCTTTGATTGATTCCGGAGCAGAGAGGGACTTCATCCATGTGCAACTCATCAAGGAGCTGCAGATTCCAGTGAAACCTCTGAAATCACCTTTACAAATTGCTGCCTTGGTCGGGGGTCCAGTGCGGGTTGGATCCATCAAAAACTAAACTCATTAGATTAAATGCTAGCGTACTTCACACCAACCTATTAACTTTTCTTGTACTCGGCTCTTCAGAATTTGCCATAATTCTAGGCCTTCCATGGTTAGAAAGACATATTTCCTGGTCTGAACATGAACCTATCTCCTGGTTTGACTAGTCTAGAACATTGTATCACACATCCCACAGTAACCATTAGATCCACATCCATTGAAAGCCCTGAGAAGGAAGTCCTAGTCAATAACCCTTTTGAATATTTAGATTTCTAGGATGTTTTTAGTAAAGGGAACGCCACTAAATTATGTCTCCATTGTTGCTATGGATGGGGCAAAAGAGGTTCTTGAGCACTCAACCCTTCTCAAATCTAGAGTTTATCCTCTAACACAAGAAGAGAAGAAGGCTATGGACACTTACATCCAAAAAGCATTAGAAAAGGGTTTTATTAAACCTTCTACTTCCGCTGTAGTTTTTGGGTCTGCTTTCTTTAATCCATGTCGCTCTAGAGCAGCTATGAGAAGCTCACATTTTCACAAAATTATATCTCAGAAATGCCTACAATCTCATTAGAAATTGAGAAGGAGCCGACTGGAAAACAGCTTTTTAGAGAGCACTACAAATATTTGGTCATCCTGTTTGGCCTCTTTAATGCTCTGTCGGTGTTCGTTTATAAATGACATTTTAAGAGACATGATTGTGAAAGATGTCATTGTCTATATAGATGACATTCTCATCTACTCACCAGACCCTAGGACTCATGTGAAACAAGTCTGCATGGGCATTCAGTGTTTACTTGAGCAAAACTTGTATGTAAAAAGAGAAATGTGAATTTAATCTTCAGTCAGTAACCTTCTTAGGATATTGTGCCATGCACCCATCCCCCGGGCCCCAATGACCGCTGTGAGAGCCAGTAAGAAGGCAG